TGAGGGTGCGTCCTTCCAGAAGGCCGTGCTGCTTTCCTGCCCTGCAGAACCATGGAGCTGTCCCCAGGATGTTGCTGTCCCATGCGGCACACCGGAATTCTGGTTGTAGGGTGCTGCCCGCGTGGGCACTGTGCCTGTAGGAGACCTTCAGCAGGGGCCTCCGTGGCCCCAGCTCCTAGGGCGAGGCTGTGTGCTGCATGGTCAGTAAGTCCAAGGGGCACCACGGTGCTTGCTGTGGGTGAATCCATCCCTCTCCCTGGCCTGGACACTCAGCGCCATCTGTGAGCACCGGCTGGGTGCACCCACACCTGGTCTAGGGAAGGAAGCAGCTCAGGACACGTGCTGGGAAGAGCCAGGTGGGCAGAGGATGGTCCCCAGGTTTCCATCCCTGAAATGGGCTGACAGAGAGCGGGGCAGTGCAGCTGGGCCCCTCCCTGCCTGGCCCGGGCCCTCGGGTTTCCCCAGCCCCTGCCCTGTTCCATTGGGGGCTTCTTGGTTTCTTGTAAAAGATGCGATTAGAGTAACCCTGAAGCCTCATTCCCACCTTGTCTCATAAACAACAGGGAAATGCCAGTGACACGCAAGCTGTTCCTCAAACCGCCTTGTTTTTACGCTGTGCAGTGGAAACACACCACTTCCTCCCTGAGTCAGGCGCCTCCCGCCCGGCTCTCCCCGCCGCCGCCCAGGTGCCAGAAGCCGTCACTCTTTCCACCAAGCGCTGTTCTCCCGGTGGAGCGCGGCCCTGCGCGGGGCTGTGGGTTGGTGGGTTGTTGTTTTTGCTGTTGTTGTTTGGGTTTTCTTATATTGCATAAGTCACTAACTAGGTTAACAGCAGTGAGGCGGGTGTGTTCACCTGCTCGCCGGTGCCCAGCACGCACTGCTGGGGGTCCCCACGAGGGGCCCTGAAGCACAAGCAGAGGGTGGCCAGTAGACAGGCACCTTCTTGTCCTTGCCGTCTACACCTGCCACCCTCTTGGCTGCTGAATTCTGTCTGTTCTAGAAGTATCTGTGTGCTGCAGCTGGAATCCCCTCTCCCATGGCGGCCCCCACTCGTGCCCCTCAGAGCCCTCTGCCTAGCGTGTGAATGGACAGGTGACACCTGCTTCCACTTCCCCTGCAGGAGCTCCGCAGCCTGCCCTCTTCTTCCTGCTCCTGCTGTCAGCCCGCAGGGAGCCAGGAGGGGCTGTGCTGGGGAAGGGCCCACGGGCAGGCAGGCCCAGAGCCCAGGGAAGCAACAAGAATTATAATCTGGGGCTGGAGTCTGGGGGACAGGTCACAAAAATCTCTATAGAAAATGTGACTTAGCACTGAGCCAGGACCCCTGGCCATCCTCCCGTTTCCTCCCCGCTGGGGTTGTGGTTTGGTCTTTGATTTCAAGCTCATTCAGCATCCATTCAGCAAAATGCTGCCGAGCACATTGTCAAACGGATTCGCCAAATACTCACCGAAAGCCTGCCTTGCGGGGCGTGCTCCTGAGCGCCCAGCCCGCACCTCCCTCACAGCCCTGCGGCCGCGCCCCAGTCTTGCTCCCTGGGCGGGTCCTCCAGGGCAGGACGGCTCCCAGCTCACATCTTAGGGCCCAAGGGAGTGTTTCTGCTGGGGCTGGAGCGTGAGGGGCCCGAGGACACAGCCGCTGCTCAGGAGCGGCCCCTGACCCGCACCCGCGCGTGCTGGCCACTCCATATGCGGTTCCGACCAGCGCCCGCGCGTGCTGGCCACTCCACTCGGTCGCGCGCTCCCAGCGGCCCTGAGGCCGTGCGCTGCCACCGCCCCCTCTAACAGGCTGTGGCAGCGAGGCCCTCCCAGGCACCCAGCCGTCAGCAGCGGAACCTGGGCCATACAAAGACTCTACCACGACGTTGGGGGTTGCGCACGGGAAAAGTGGAGAGTGCAGAGGTGAAATCAAAACCACCAACCGTGGAGGGTTCCGAGTGCTGAAAGGAGTGTTTGGTTTTGTTTTCTAAGATAGTGTCATGAGCTGAGTACCAGGAGCATTTCACGTGGGAGGGAGAAAATGACTTGGGTCCAGTGGGTTGAAAGTGTAGGAAAAAAGTGTATTTCAATTCAAGAAAAGGAGACATTCTCTGATGGCTGGGATTGTCACATGAGAGAAGGGTTGTCCCGGGTGGAGTGGCGTGAGCTTCCTGTCCCTGCACAGGGTGAGCTGAGGGCAAAGGGCCCCAGGGCAGACAGAGACGCACAGCCCTGTGGCCTTCCTTGCTGATTGCTAGTACTTGAAGGGTCACCTCCTGGCGGCTCCTACCCCTTCCGGTTCCCAGAGTGTCCCCTGAGAGCCCACTCCCAGGCTCTCTGGCAGCCCTGTGCTGGGAGGGCCTGAGCCATGAGGGTCACCGCCATGCACACCCACTCCCGTTTCCCTCCCGCTCCCTGGGACGACCACCCTAAGGACCTTGCTCTCCTCCCCAGCTGAGCGTCACTGCGGGCCTTAGAGGCCCAGCCTGACCTCCCCACTGGCGGGCCACCCCGGGATGAGACAGCAGTGTTCCAAGGGCCCAGGCAGGGCAGGGGCTCCTCCCTCCCGCCCTCCCCTCACTCCTTCCCTTGAGTTTCTTGTACTTTCATTTTCTTCCATCATGCTCCTTTTCAAGTTGGTCACTGAAATACCAAGCACAGCTCGTTTCCTGCCTGCTTGCGTCCCTGCTGCGCTAGTCCTCACATAGCTGTGCTTGCCTTTACTTCCCACTGCCCTTGTTTTACCCCAGCCAAACATTTCCACGGGGAACTTTCTCTCTTCCCAGCTTTTCTGGCAAGGTCAGTCTGCAACTCCTGCCCTGCGACCCCCGCCCTGCGGGAAAGCCCTGCCCTGCAGGTGTGGGGCTGCCCCCTTAGTCCCATCAGAAGCACCCACCTTCCTCCAACCAGTTGCTGGTGTCCCCATTTGCAGCCGGCCTGAGCCCAAGAGGCCCAGTGATGGCCTCACTCTTGGCCAAATGCTCTTTCCAAAAGAGGCACAGAATAGCCTTTCTAGTCCCTTCACACACCTCTTTGCAGCACACACTTTTTCTCTTGACAAATTCAAACACACCCTTCCATCTTAACAATTTTTAATCTTTTTGTTAAGAAAAAAAAAATCTTTTTGAATCAAAAGAGTAGTTTATTATATCTCAAACAAGAAGCAGTACAATTAATCAAAGTGTGCACCTAAATTATCAACACAGTTTTGCCATCTTAATGGTAGCTTGTTTATGCCAGCAGGGAAAAGGTCTGGACAGTGAGTGGTGATGAAATTGCGAAAGGCGTTTTCCACAGCTTGTTGAGAATTGAATATTTTTCCCTGCAAGACGTGGTCGAAAGCCTGGCAGAAGTAGGGTAGTCAATTGGTGCAAGGTCTGGTGAATATGGTGGATGACAGAGGGATTCCAAGTCCAGCTTCTATAGTTTGAGCAGTGTTTTTTGTGCAACATGTGTTCAAGTGTTGTCTTGCAAGAGGATTAGCTTGTCTCTGTCTACCAATTTTGGCTGCTTAATCTCAAGCATCTTCATCATTTTGTCCAACTGGTTGCAGTAGACATCTGCTGTGATCCACTGACCAGGTTTCATGAAGCCGTAGTAGACAATACCAATGCTGGACCATCAAACAGACACCATTAGCTTTTTTTGATAAACATTTGATTTTGGACTGTGTTTTGGTACTTTGTCTTTATCTGATCATTGTGCTGAATGCTAATTATTGTCAAAAATGACTCATTTTTCATCACACATAACAATGTGGTGTAGAAATGGATCACCTTTATGTCGTGACAGCAAAGAAAGGCAAGTTTCAAGACGATTTCTCTTCTGATGCTTATTAATTCATGTGGAATCCATCTATCCAGCTTCTTTATCTTGCTGACTTGCTTTAAACGGTCCAATATTGTTGGAATAGTGTCATCACACCTTGCTGCTAATTCAGACATAAGTTGAGATGGACTCGCTTCCACTACAGCTTTCAGCTCACCATTATCCACCTTGGTCTCAGAGAAAAAATATTTTAAACATACTTGAAAGTGACTGAAAGTAGTATCATGCCCCTATTACGCAGCCTTGGTAATTGTCCAAACTGGCCCCAAATTGGCCCCAATTGGTCCAAATTGGGTCTCATCCCCACTCCCATTTTTACCTTTTTTGTTTTTTGTCTTCAGACAGAGTCTCTCTCTGTCACCCAGGTTATAGTGCAGTGGTGTCATCATAGCTTACTGCAACCTCAAATTCCTGGGCTCAAGTGATGCCCCTGTCTCAGCCTGTAAGTAGCTGGGATTACAGGTACATGCCACCACGCCCAGCTAATTTTTCTTTATTTTGTAGAGATGGGATCTCACTCTTGCTCAGGCTGGTCTTGAACTCCTGACCTCAAGTGATCCTCCCACCTTGGCCTCCCAGAGTGCTAGGATTAGAGGCCACCGTGCCTGGCCTTTTTATTGTATGTTTAATAGTCATTGATTTATAAAATATGAGACAAGGAGCTATAAATGAAATCAGTAGCATTCATAAATGAATATTTATCTGCTTGATCACAACAGAACTGCACACATATGAAAACAGTAGCAGCAACTACAGGTGCCAGGCACTGTCTGCCCAGACACTCTGCTTGGTGCTCACCTGGATTTATGGTACTCTGTAGCACTGTGTTTCCCGAAAAATAAGACCTACCCATAAAATAAGCCCTAGAAGAATTTCTAAGCATTTGCACAATAGAAGCCCTACCCCGAAAATAAGACCTAGTGATGGGCGTGGCTACATAGCGCATCTGCACAACCCATGCATTTCGTCACAGAGCAGTAAAGAAGACGAGCAGCCCTTCTCATCTGCCCCATGAGAGCTCTATTGCTCGACATGAAAGATTGGGGCCAATGGTTCTAAAGGAAATACAGTAGCAAGAAATTCAGGATGGAATTCAGGGTTTGGAGAGTGATGATGATGTTCCAGAAGAAGACGACTTAATTATATTTGAATAAATGTAGATTGTTGTACCGTACTTAAAAAAATAACACATCCCCTGAAAATAAGCCCTAGGGTGTCTTCTTGAGGAAAAATAAGTATAAGACCCTGTCTTATTTTCAGGAAAACATGGTAGCTATATAGCCACAGGCCCAATTCTTTTCTGCTGTTCTTTAACATTTTACTTTGAAATAATTTAGACTTACAAAAGTTGCCAAGATATTACAAAGAATTTCCTGTATACCCTCCACCAGCTTCTCCAATGTTAGGACTTTACCACTTGCCTTCCTAGTCCCTCTCCAGCTATACATTTTTTCCTGAGCTATGGGAGAATAAGTTGCATACATTGCAGCCCTCCACCGCTAAATTCTTCAGCGTGTGTTTCCTAAAGTCAAAGACAAAGGCATTTCTCACATAGCCACGCTATAATCATCTGCATGAAAACGAACGTGGACATGGTCCGATCACACTCCAGACAGTCTCGCAGTCTCGCCAGTGCTTTTATAGAAAAGAAGAAAATTGTTTTTTTGGTCCAGGGTGCCATGGAGGCATTCAGGTGGCATTTCACCTCCCGCAGCTTGGGACAGCTCTGTACTCCGTCTGTCCTTCATGCCCTTGAAAACTCCTCGTTATTACCGACTTATTATTAGCTGGAAATCCAGCGAGGAAGCCGTGTTACTTCACTTGCAAATTCTTTTCTAAATGACAGGCACTATTTTCTCCAGCCCCAGAGTGCTGGAGAGAGCTGGCTCTTAGGGATGCTCCCCTGACATGAGCCTGAGAGTCTGCAGCAGCCTGCTGGCCTCGTGGGGCCGGCGCCCAGCCACCCTGCACATCGCCGATGCCCCGGGAAGATGGCCAAAACAACAGGCATCATGAAGGCCCTTACTCTTCCCTTGGCTCATTTTCCCCTGTTCTCTGCTTTAGTTTGGGCTCCCAACTAGAAAGTTAGGAACTCAAAGCGAAAAGCTGTGCAAGAAAGGAAATGTCGCCAGAACGCCCTGCTGGGCCCTGCCCGCTCCCAGCTGCGGCTCTGCTCCTGGGATCCTTGCAGAACCCACTTCCAGACACAGCGCAGAAGCCTCGGTCGAGAGTGCCCAGCAGAAAGCCCACGTCATCAAATTCAGTTTGGTCACAGACAGAGCTACACAGCCAGCAGGAGGGCTGGGGACAGCCATGTCACTGTGTGGGCGGGGAGGCCAGACGGCTGCAGAGGACAGCCTTGTGCCTTCCCTGGTGAGATCACGAGATCCCACTGAAAAGCTCAGGCCCGGGCACAGGGTGTGCACACACCCCGGGTGATGCGGACATACCTGCAGAGGCACAGGTGGAAGGACCCATATGCTGGCTCTGGGCAGGGAGTGCGGCTGGAAGCTTTGTTCCTATTATGCGTCTTGCTGTGCCCCACAAGTGTCATTGCCTTGATACGTTTTTTTAAAGACCAGTGAACTCAGAGGAACTGGATCCTTGTCTTGGTTTCTTGTCTGGGGATAGCTCCCTGCCTGCTTGATAATGAGTATATGCTTCACCTGCCCCCGTCCCCCCGCAGAGTTGCTGCAAGGCTCAAGGAACATATTTAGTATTTACTAATCTCTGTGTTCCAAGTTGTGGCAGTAGTACTAGTATTGCATTATTATTCTTAAAACAGTGCAAAAACAAACATACATTAAGACACTAATGAGAGCCATGTGACATCACTGAAACAGAGAGAGAATGTTATTAGGGAAAATTTGGGGTGGGCTCAGATAAGGTGAGGTGTGTATTCACAAAGGTGCTAGTCACAGTGAGGTTGCACACGAGCAGTACGTGGACATAATTACTCAAAGGGTCATGCCCTTGACCCACTCCCTCCATTTCTGAAAATGTATTCCCTGGAAGTAATTATTGATGTACACGAGTACATCTAATGGAACCAACCAAGATGTCAACAACAGAAAACTAAGTAATAAAATGTGGTACTTAATTGTGCTGTCATACCTGCAGCAACATAGGAAATGTTTATGCTGCTACAAGCAGGCAATAAAAGTACACTTACACTACATTATAGCCATGTAAAAAACGATGTGCACAAGGACAATGGGAGATCATTTTCTAGGTTTTCACTCATTTCTCTATTCAACGACCATTTGCACTCCGCGATGTCCCAGGCCCTTTGGGGAGCCCAAGAGAGATAGCTGGGGGTCTGGTGCCACCGTTCCCAGGCAGTTGTCGCTGCACAGGAGAAATGATGGTGATGCACAGCATTTTCTCTCCAGAGAAACTTGTTTTAAGGGACATAATCTCTGATCAGGAACCGTGATGGCAGACGGCTGTCCCCGCAATCAGGAAGCCACAGAGGTGGACACAATGAAGCTGGAAGAGGTGGATTTAGGAAGGACTGTTTCACAAAATATGCAGTGAATCTGTGACCTTTGTTTGCCCTGAGAATTGTACAAAATGAATACACAAATAGGTTCCCAAAGCTTTAAGTGTACTGACCAATGCCAGATCTGTCAAGTGGTGTCTGGGGGAACATGGCTGTCGCCATTGTGAGCAAGCGAGCCCTTGTGTCACAGAGGCCCAACTACCACCAGAAGCCAGGAGGCCAAGGCCTTTGTCCTCCACTCCTGTGCACCCCTGCCTGAGGGTTGCTGCCAGAGGTCCCTCCCCACCCTTCCCTGCACACAGGTGGACCTGGGGCTGGGGGACACAGGCAGACATTCGGATGTGTCCTTGAACCTGGATGTTGACAGCATGGAGGATGGTCCTGCATCTTTGGGATTTTCCCTGGCCTACTGGGTTCCTGAGCTTGGGGGCACCCTACCCAGGGCAGGTGCATCCAGAGAGGGGAGTCTTCCTCAGGGTTTGTACCCTCCACAGGTAGGCTCCTGCTCATTGGCATTTTCCATCAGGTGGTGGTCGTAGGGGATGGAATTTTGCTAAAGCAGGTTACACTCCTTTCCATGTACTGGCCTCATCATTTGGCCTCCTTGGAGATGGACACATCTGGAAAGAGCTATGAGAACTCACCCAGATGTGTCTCTAGGGAGAATCAGGAACAACTGTTCTTGCCAACCCAACACACGTCCTGGGCCTGACCCTCCTAGGAGGGCAGCCAGGTACACACACAGGATTCTCCTCTGTCAATTCTGAACCTGCATCCCACCTGCACCCCAAATAGGAGCCGACTCGGGCTAGCCCATTCTGACAGCCTATCCTTCCACCAGGACCACAGGTGCTGGGCAATGAGGAGGCCACTCTCCTTGGGACTAGAGACACCAGAAGGATTTGGGAGGGAGCAGAGTAAGTGCAAGGACCCTTCCATGGGTCCAGGGTGAACCAGGATTGTCAGCCACCCTACACTTATGAGAGGTCCTCATGTTGCATGTCCTGGTGTGGACGAAGTGCCCACAGGGAATGAAGGCCTGCCTGGGGAAGGCTGCAGCCGGTGCCCTATGCGCAGAGCACAAAGGGAGTCACCTGCAGCATGCATCCTGCCATCAGCCCCACCCACCCTTTTAAGCCCACATACATGACAATGGCGTCTGAGCATGGTGGTGTGAAGTGCAAGGCCTGTTTGTAACTAGAACTGCACCCAGCCCCAGGCTAGAGTCCCATGGGCAGAGCATTGGGACTGGGAAGAGGGGAGATGCAGGAATGCCTGGGCACTGGCACTGGGCACACAACTCCATTGTGTCCTTGAGAGGGGATATTAAAAATTGGTGCTCAGTGCTTAGCACTGAAATTGGTGCTTCCTTCTTTGCAGATAAGCTTGGACATGTTACCTACTTCCGCAGATGAAATGTGAGAGGAAGCGATCCCGTCACCTCCAGGTGGACATGTTAAAAACTAGTAAAGACAGAGCTTCAGTGCAGTAAATAATGACCCAGTTTCTCCAGGAAGCTGTGGAATGCAAAGGGATGGGATGGGATGGGATGGGATGGGATGGGATGGGATGGGATGGGATGGGATGGGATGGAATGGGTTGAGTTTGGATTGGTTGGCATGGGATGGGATGGGTTGGGATAAGATAAGTTCCGATGGGTTGGGATGGGATGAATTGGGATGGGTTGGGATGGGATGAGTTGGGATGGGTTGGGATGGGATGAGTTGAGATGGGTTGGGGTGAGGTAAGATAGATAGATGGGATGATATGTATTAGAAGGGATGGGATGGGAATGGATGAGATGGATGGGATGGGATGAGATGGATGTGAAGTGATGGGATGGGATGGATGAGATGGATGGGAAGGGATTGGATGACATGGATGGGATGGATGGGATGGGATTGGATGGATGAGATGGATGGGATGGGATGGACGGGATGAATGGGATGGAATGGATGGATGGGATGGGATGAGATCGATGGGATGGCTGGATGGTATGGGATGGATGGGATGGGATGGGATGGATGGATGGGATGGATAGGACGGATGGATGGGATAGGATGGATGAGATGGATGGGATGGGATGAGATGGATGGGATGGCTGGATGGTATGGGATGGATGCGATGGGATGGGATGGATGGGACAGATGGATGGGATAGGATGGATGAGATGGATGGGATGAGGTGGGATGGGATGGGATGGTTGAGATGGATGGGATGGATGGATTGGATGGGATGTATGGATGTTATGGATGAGATGGATGGATGGATGGGATGGGATGGGATAGATGAGATGGATGGGATGGGTGGATGGGATGGGATGGAATAGATGAGATGGATGAGATAGATGGGATGGGATGGGATGGATTGGATGATATGGATGGGATGGGATGGATGGGATGGCTGGATAGGATGGGATGGGATGGGATAGGATGGGATGGGATAGATGAGATGGACGAGATGGATGGATGGGATGAGATGGATAGATGTTATGGATGGGATGGGATGGGATGGGATGGATGAGATGGATGGATGGGATGGGATGGGATAGATGAGATGGATGGGATGGGTGGATGGGATGGGATGGGATAGATGAGATAGATGGGATGGGATGGGATGGGATGGGATGGATGGGATGGCTGGATGGGATGGGGATTAATGGCATGGTATGGGATGGCGGGATGGGATGGATGGGATAGGATGGATGTGATGAATGGGATGAGGTGGGATGGGAAGGGATGGGATGGATGAGATGGATAGGATGGATGGGATGGAATGGGATGGATGAGATGGATGAGATGGATAGGATGGATGGGATGGATGAGATGGATGGATGGATCAATTGAATGCCATGGGATGGCATAGATGAGATGGATGGATGGATGGGATGGGATAGATGGATGGGATGGGATGGGATGGTATGGGATGGGATGGATGGAATGGGATGGCATGGATGGATGGATGGATGGATGGATGGATGGATGGGATGGGATAGATGGATGGGATGGGATGGGATAGGCAGGATGAAATGCTTAGAGTCATCTCTTCCCAGCTCCCAGGCCAGCTATGACATGCTGGGTTGAACTGGTGATACACACAACCCCACATTCCACACCAGGAGGAAAACAGCTACTCTCTGGCTGGACAGGGGGCTTGAATAAAGATAGTTCAGTAAGAAGCTGTAATGCAAAAGGACTCTCTCAGCAGAGGGAACAGGATACACTCAAACAGGCTAGTTTAATGCCAAATGTGCCATATTGCTGGGGCTGTTGTTTGGTATAAGATTTGCCCTGTGAACCTCAAGGGACGTAGATAGAGATGCTCAGTGGGCTGATGTAAGTGGAAGTGTTTTGCTGACTGAAAAGTGCTGGACAAATGCTAGCTACCTCAGTATCACCAAGCGCCACGTCACAGGTTGCAGAGTGCCGATTATTACAAAAGACTTGGCTTACACCTGCATTTCATGTGGCTGCACAAGCCAATCTTGTTGGAGCTGTCTTTTCAGAAGAGCTGCTGCAAAACCCTTTGCTTAGTTTCCTTCAGTTTCCACAGCTTTGCTGCCAGGGAATAATTTTGTTCCACCCTTATCTGCAGATCAATAGGGCTCTCCTGGGAAATTAAAATTTCCTATGTTTTCTAATATTGTGTGATACTCTTCTTGGCCATTCTATTTGGACAATGAATATGCATGGAAAAATATGATTTTCAATGCAACTAGATCAGTAAATTGTACTTGGTGCATTTATATCAGGAGATATTGAGGGGGTGTTTTTCCTGGTAAATTCAGATGTATTTAAATAATGAAAATCATACATACTTAATACAATCCTTAATTTATTTGTATTATATGTTTATGTTAAATAAAAGTTTTCTAAAACATACGTGCTTTTAAAATTAATTTGTTTCTTGGCATGATGTCTGGGATTTATTTCAAAATAATCCCAGGGGAGGGGCAGTGGCCAGGTCACAGATGAAATAAGACCAGAGCTAGCAGTGAGCACATAGCATCATATTCTCCACGGCAGTGTGTGCTTGCAACATAATACGTGGTTTGAAAGTCACTTTATTTATGCTTGGAGCAGACAAGTTTACCTGAGGCATCAGAGCAATTCCTGGTACTACTGCTGACAATGTAAAATGTTTAATGAGGTCAAATACAGTACCATAGAGGTAAGAATAGTTTTCACATTTTTTAAAGGTTTAAAAGAATATCTAATTCAGTGAACTGGCTTTGCCCCATGGTCTGTAGTTTACAGACTCCTGAAATGATGTCAGGTAGAGGTGAACACAGAGAAGAAGGGAAGGCAGGGTCCCCTGAATCAGCCCCCAGTCCCTTCTGACAGCCCTGTCTCACCAAGTGTGACAACTTCAGTGTCTGTAAATAAAGTCTCATTGGAGCCACACTGATTTCTTCGCAGGAAAAGGTTGCCTCCTCCTGTGTCACCTCATGTAAGTTTATGCTTATTTGTTTATTATCCGTATCCCCAGCTATAGTGCAAGTGCCTAGAGGGCAGGCGTCTGCTGTTTAACACTCTTCCCTCTGCAGAGAGACCCTGTGCAGATACTTATGGCCTAGAGCTGAATCCCAGGTCCCCCTTACAAACTATGTGACCTTGGGCAACTTATTGACCTCTCTGTACCATATCTGTAAAATGGGATGATCACAGTACCTTTCTCATAGAGCTCTCTTAATGAATCAATAAGTCAACACTGGCAAATGAAGCTATTTATATGTCCCTATGGTTATTACTCTCAGGGTAGCAGAATTCCTGCCAGTAGAGCTCCTTTGTCTTGTATCTATATAGCTGTGTCCTTTCAGCTGATTTTCCTAGATCTACCCTCCTTGCCAAAACAAAAGAAAAAAATATCCACTCTGTCCTAAAGGAATATTGACCTCTCCACTCTTACCAGGGTCAAACTATGGCAGCTTTTATAGCATGGCATTCCCCCTCCCTTTACCATCAAGGATTTGGGATCACTGGTTGCTCAGGCTCCCAGGACACAAGCACAGGCCCCTGGCTGTGCACACCCCTGGAAACTTCAGACAAGCACCTGTGTTTTCTTCACCCTTGTGCCTGGTGGAAACACCATCCTTCAGTATTTGGCTAAGATGCATCTCTTTGAAGAAGCCTGCCCTGATGATGCCCAAAGGTGGTGTGCCTGTCCCTGGAGCCTGCTGCCGCTGGGCACGGGTTCTGGTCAGTTAAAATCATGTCTCTACGCCTATGTAAAATGGAGCAGCTACTATGGAAAACAGTATGGTGGTCCTCAAATGGTTAAATGAAATTACCATATCATCCAGCAATCCCAATTCTAAGTGGAAGTCTAAAAGAAATGAAAGCCAGGTCTTGAGACGTGCACACCCATGTTCATAGCAGCAGCATCACAGTGGCCAAAGGGTGGAAAGCTGTGGAAAGGAAGGGAATTCTGACACATGCTGCAACTAACACGGATGAACCTTGAGGACATTGTGCTAAGTCACAAGTACTGTAAGAGTCTACTTATATTCCTAGAGAAGAACTCTATGAACTTAGGTTCATAGAGACAGAAAGTTGAATGGAGGCTGCCAGGGCTGGGGAGGGGTACAGGGAGTTGGTGTTTAATGGGGACGGAGTTCCAGTTTGGGAAGATGAGAAACCCTGCAGATGGATGGGGGCAATTGTAGCACAACAATGTCAGTAGACTCAATGCTACTGAGCCGTGGTGCACTTAAAAATGGTTAAAATGGTAAATTTTATGTTATGCACATATAAATAATTGAAGTCTGTGTCTCCATCATCTTTCTCTTCCTGGCACTTAGCTGAAAGCCTGGTGCTCTCTCCTGTCTCATCCCAGAGCAGAATGAAACACATTCTCTTAAACATTCACAACAGTTTCCAATGAAATTGATTTAGGAAAATAGCCAACTATTACTCAGGGTCAAGGCAACAGATGGCGTTTGGTCCAGCAGTTGTGCGTGGCCGCAGACGGATGTGACTGTTTGCCCGCAAAGCCCAGGAACAGACGCTTCCATGCGTGACCGCCACCGCGCCTGCGCAGCAGCAGTCGCGTCCACGCAGCAGGGCGTCGCGCCAGGCCCCGCGGCAGAGGCCCACGCGCAGGCTGGTCCTGGAGAGCCGCGCAGTCCGGGGGCGGGACGGAGCTCAGGCCCGTCCCGCAAGGGAACTGCCCGGCGGCAGGACCACACTCACAAAGACGCCGCGTGGCAGTGGCAGCGTCCACCCTGCCCGTGCTCCACACCAGCGGAGCCCAGGCCGAGACTCCCTGCCTCCGCAGACAAAGATCGCTTCTCTCCGCTCTAACGCGACCTAATCAAAACCAAATGAGGACAGCTTGCAGGCAAATCGCCTGGTGTTTCAGTTCACACCAGTGGCTGAGGCCAAGGACTGGGGGAAACCACACAGCATTTCTAATAACTGAAGAACTGCGTTTGACCTGGGGGTTCTCCCTGCGAATGCTGACAGTTGATCAGGCCTGCAGAGAATGACAGGCGAGCATCGGTGGAGATGAGTCACAGCCGTCCCTGG